GGTCAGATTGAAATAGTACGGTCGTACGGGCGTGCGTGCGTACATTAAATTCGTGCATCAAATATGTGTTTCAAAGAGCTTTCGAAATAAAACGGTCACTTGTTCGAATTGTGGTGTTTTGTGAAACACATGAGTAAAATTGTCCCACCACAAAAATGCAATCAATCAAAACGGACTCGCATACGTTTCACTGTCTTTGATACGTACGAACGGACGGACGGACGGACGTACGGCTGCGTAGATTTTAATGGTTGGTTTTATGCACGAATTGAAAATGTGGCCGAAAAATCAATCAAAACAAAAAAAAAACTGATAAACCCAAAAACAACCAATTTTTGTCATCAATAATTTCAAAAAGGTTTACTTACCGAACGATGATCTTCTTTTTCTTCTTAAAATTATCACGACTCTCCTGCACTTTGGATTATATTGATGCTTTCAGTTCAATGTTTTGATTTTTTTTAAATTTTCACTATCACTTGAATCTCAAGGAACAAACAGTCAATTTACACTTTAACTTATGTTACGTTTTTTAATGCTCTGGGTTGTTTTTCGCCAGAGATATTCTGAAACACTAATAACAACATTTTCCATATATTCAATCAACCAAACAACAATCACGTTTTTCTTCTCTACGTTTTTCTTCAATAACCTTATTGTTATTTGGAGAGTTTGGAGCGAAAATGTCATACAGAAATGTTTTTTTTTGTCAAATAAGGAAGCTGTTGCCACTAATTAGCTCTTGTATTTGATACCAAATATTTCCCATTTGATAAAATAGCTCATCCATTTGATGAATCCTCTATATGTAACATTTTTCCGCGCAACATTTCTGTATGATATTTTTGCTCCAAACTACTCATTTGCGGTCGCGCATCATGTTCACATTCTTCACGCGCACACACTCAAACACTCGCGTCATCATCATAGCGGTTTGGTGTGCAAACAAGATGGCGTCGTTTGCAAATTTGCACAATGCCACATTTTTATGGAATCAGAAAATTCCGCACAAGCAACAACAGTCAGGAAAAAAGGAAAAAAGTTAAATTTGAATGAAAATTTTGAAAATAAATTCAAATTGGTTTTATCTCCCCTGCTTTTTTTGCATCGCAGTTCATTATCATGCGCTTGAAGCGTACCATGACCATGAGAATGAAGTGCGACACAGAAAATAGCAATGGGCACAAAAACATTTTAAATTCATTTCCCAATTTTCAATTAAATTTCACTTGTTTTCCTTTTTTTCTGATTTATGTTTTTTGTGCGGAATTTTGAAGGCAGTCGAATGCACGCAAATTGAATTTATACACTGTTTTCTGATTGACACAAATGAACCAACCTCAGAATCGAACCACTCTCAAAGAGAAATCTAGATACACTGAATACTGAATGTGCCACAGCAGTCACTTGTTGCTGAGAAAATCACTCGGTGTGTGTGTGTACGTGACTAACACCGCATTCACGGTCGATGTGCGGCGACAACCTCTTGTATTTTTGGTGTGTGTGCACATTTACATAGACTACGGTTCGATTGTCAAATTTTGGCGACGTGATCGAAATCGATGTAAACATAAACGCACACCAAAAATACAAGTGCTGGTCGCCGCATATCTACTGTGAATGCAGTGTTAGCTACGTACACATATACACTGAGTGTTTTTTCTAGCAATGCCGACCACTTAGCATAGATAGAATATATGCATCCTTTTGATGCGATTGCCTCTCTATCTCTCTCATTATCTCTTACGTTACATCATGTAAACCTCAGACGCATCAGATGTAATTGATGTTCTTTTTAGTTGACTGAGTTTTTCTAAACTGAGCGTATGCAGAATAAAAGGTTTGTTTTTAATTTAAAAAAAGAGACGAAAAAGAAGCTGCAAAATTTACCATTTTGCGCGACAAATCATCTGCTAGTTTTGGTGGGATTCATTTTGACTGCCGTGGATTTAATAAATTTTTTATCTTCTTCTTTTGTTTTCGATTTTTTCTGGTATTGAATTGAATGTTGTGCAAAAAAAAAACATTTCTACTGTGAATCGTGTGTGATCACAGAACTGAAAAGGAATATTTTGTGATTTCAGTGCATCCAATATGTAACATTTATTGAGACAATTTAATGAGAACTTTGATTTTGCTATGTGGAGTGACGAATGATCCAAAGAATTTGATATTGCAGCAGCAGCACATTATTGTTTCTTATTTAGAACAGTGAATTTTGTTGTACTCTGTGTCCAAAAAGTAAGGTGACATTGCATTTAAAATTCAGCGCGCTGGGGAATTTGAAAAAATCCTTTTATTTTTAGGTTGGTAGGACTGTCTTTGACATCCCTGCCAAATTACACGTCAAAATATTCATTAGTGTTCGGGATACGCTTCGTTTTGTGGACTGCTAAAAGTGAATTTCTCGTTTTTTGCGATGTCGAAATTTGTTGATCAAAGAATTTGCATTAAATTTTGTTTGCGGAATCAATTTTCTGCTGCGGATTCGTTGAGGATGGTGCAGAAAGCCTTTGGTGATGAGGCTATGTCGAAAAAAAATGTTTACAAGTGGTATAGTGAGTTCCAAGCAGGCCGTGAATGTGTCGAAGACGAAGAGCGTGCTGGGCGACCATCAACCTCAACCGACGAAGCTCACGTCCAAAAAATTAAAGATTTGGTGTTGGAAAACCGTCGATTAACGATTAGAGACCTTGCTGATGATATTGGCATATCGAAAGGCTCAGTCAATACCATTTTGAAGGATGTTTTGGGCCTCAAACGCGTCAAATCTCGACTGGTACCGAAATCATTGAATTTTTTGGAAAAAAGGTGTCGAGTTGACGTGTGTGAAACAATGCTTTCTGACTACATTGACAAGACGAAATGCATGATCACTGGAGACGAGACTTGGATCTATGCTTATGACCCGGAAACAACCGACCAATCGAGCGAATATCGTGCCAAAGGTGAGCCGAGACCAAAAAAACCGCGCCAAAGTCGCTCAAAAATCAAGGTCATGTTGACTGTTTTCTTCGATTATCGGGGTGTTGTGCATTATGAGTTCCTTCCCCCGGGTCAAACAGTCAACAAGGAATATTATTTGAGTGTTATGCGTCGTTTGCGTAACGCTATCCGCCAAAAGAGGCCGGAATTGTGGAAAGACAACTCTTGGTTTTTGCACCATGATAATGCATCGTCTCACAATGCGATCATTCTTCGTGAACATTTCGCCAAAAACTCGACTCATATCGTTCCACAACCACCGTATTCACCTGATTTGGCACCGTGCGACTTCTGGCTGTTCAACAAGCTCAAAAGACCGCTCCGGGGACACCGTTTTGAGACGATAGAGCAGATTGAAGCCGCAGCGAAGACGGAGCTGAGGGCCATCCCTGAAGTCGACTTTTTCAACTGTTTCGAAGATTGGAAAATCCGTTGGCATAAGTGCATTGTATCGGGAGGGGATTACTTTGAAGGCGATGAAATTGATTTGGAAGAATAAATAAAGAATTTTCAAAATAAATGCAATGTCACCTTACTTTTTGGACACAGTAGTATTATCTAAAAATCCAAGTGTTTGTCCGATCGTTTATCACACGATTTTTATTCCTTCGGTAAATTTTTGAATTTTCGAAAGAAAACGGTCAATTGTTCGAATTGTGGTGTTTTGTGAAACACGTGAGTTAAATTGTCCCACCACAAACATACAATCAATCAAAACGGACTCGCGAACGTTTCACTGTCTTTGATACGTACGAACGGACGGACGGCTGCGTAGATTTTAATGGTTGGTTTTATGCACGAATTGAAAATGTGGCCGAAAAATCAATCAATAACTCGAGAGCACAGAAAAATAATGATCATATAAATAAATATAACTAATGAACAAGCGATTACTCTAGAAAAGAACGTGGAATGTAAAGA